CCTCAACAGCAACAACCGATGCAACAACAAGTTGATCCTGTCCAAGCTATGTTTCAACAACTGATTCAAGGGCAAGCCTCTACAAACCAGAAGTTTGCCGAGATGAATACTCGCCTAGACTTGTCTCTCACGGATTTCTCTACTCAGATTACAATCTTGAATAATAAAATCAAGCAACTTGAGAAGGGAAAGGCAAGCTCAAGTGGTCAGAATAGCTTACCGGGCAAGTGTGAGCAAAATCCCAAGGAATATGCCAACGCCATCACATTGAGAAGTGGTAAAGAGCTAGCACCTACGGTTACTCCCAAGATCAACGAGGACATTGTGATTCAAGAGGGGGAGGGTAAGCTTTCAGACGATGATGAGATAAACTTTGACAATGTTTGAATTCAAGGACCAAGGAGAGGTGATAAAGCGGTTGTTGAGAAGAAAGCAGAGCAAACTACTAAGGAGAAGGATGCTTATGTACCTCCACCGTATGTACCAAAGCTACCTTTTCATGGCCCTTTCAAGAAGCAACTCATAGAGAAGCATAGAGTCTTGTTTGAGAAGCACCTTAAGGACGTAGAGATCAAGCTACCTCTCGTGGACTGCCTTGCAATGATGCTTAAATGCACCAAATTCTTCAAAGACACTCTCGTGAAGAAGAATAAGGAAAGCAAGGAAGTGTTTGTTCTAAGTGAGGAGTGTAGTGCAGTGATACACAAGGAGATAGTCCCTAAGAAGTTGGGAGACCCTGGAAGCTTCACTATACCTTGCGCTTTAGGTCCTTTGGAGTTCAAGAGTTGCCTTTGTGATCTCGGAGCTAGCATAAATCTGATGCCTCATTCCGTGGCAAAGAAGCTTGGCTTTACCCGTTTCAAGGATTGTAGAATCTCGTTGGTACTAGCTGACAGAAGTGTGAGGTTACCCGTGGGTTTGCTTGAGGACTTGCCAGTGAAGATCAATGGAGTAAACGTGCCTACGGACTTCGTTGTGTTGGAAATGGATAAAGAACCAAAGGATCCACTCATTCTCGGTACACCTTTCTTAGCCACCGCCGGAGCTATCATAGACGTCGAGAACGGGAAGATTGCCTTGCACTTGGGTAAAGATATAAGGCTGCACTTTGATATCAATGAAGTTTTGAAGAAGCCTACGATAGAAGGGCAAGCTTTCTACATTGAAACGTTGGATGCTTTAGCGGATGAGTTGCTGGAAGAGTTGGCTCAGGAAGATCATTTGAAGCTGGCACTGACTAAGGAACTAGGAGAGTTCGGCTATGTGGATCAGAGAACTCAAGAATACGTCAACTTGCTTGATTCAAGGAAGGTTGTGCTAGAAGATGAAGGCGTTAGCCTAGAGATCGACTCAGAGATCGACAGCATTACTCGATCCAGGAGTCAAATCGATAGTCAGATCGAGGAGGGTGATCGATCCAGGAAAACAATCGAGTCCAAGATCGAGAGAAGCCTTCCGATCAGTTTGGGGTCTAATCTGGAGATCGACGTTACGTCTCGATCTCTCACTCGATCCACATTAAATCGAGTGAGTGAATCGAGCGAAACTGCTCGATCTAGACGACATCGAGAGCAAGATCGACCTGACGACTCGATTTCAGAAGGGAGAGCGGTTGGAGAAAGCAGCCTCAAAGGCCATATATCGGGTTCTAAGGAAGGCTCCAAGGAGGAAAACAACAGCAACAGCCACAAGGATGATTGGAGCGAGCTGTTAGCCCCAAAGGTGGACCTTAAGGAGCTCCCAAAAGGGCTAAAGTATGCTTTCTTAGGGCTTAACGAAACCTATCCTGTGATTGTGAATGAAAACTTATGTGATGATGAGTTGCACTCGCTTTTAACTGAGTTGAGAAAGTATAGGAAGGCCATTGGGTACTCCCTAAGTGACATCAAGGACCTTTCGCCAATGCTTTGCACTCATAGAATTCACTTGGATAATGAGAATGCCTCTTTTATAGAACATCAAAGGCGTTTGAATCCTAAATTGAAAGAGGTTGTTAAGAAAGAGATTCTTAAGCTTTTAGAAGCTGACGTGATCTATCCCATAAGTGACAGCACGTGGGTTTCTCCCGTACACGTGGTGCCTAAGAAGGGAGGGATCACGGTCATTAAGAATGACAAAGATGAGCTTATAACTACTAGAACAATTACTGGACACCGTATGTGTATTGATTATAGGAAGCTTAATCTTGCTACTAGAAAGGATCATTTTCCCTTGCCTTTTATTGATCAAATGCTTGAAAGACTTGCTAATCTCCCTTACTATTGCTTTCTTGATGGATATAGTGGATTTTTCCAAATACCAATCCATCCAAATGATCAGGAGAAGACGACCTTTACATGCCCTTATGGCACCTTCGCATATCGAAGGATGCCATTCGGGTTGTGTAACGCACCGGCTATGTTTCAGCGGTGTATGATGTCGATCTTCTCCGATCTAATAGAAGAGTTGGTAGTGGTGTTTATGGATGACTTCTCTGTCTATGGTGCGTCCTTTTCTGCGTGTTTGTTGAATCTTTGCAGGTTACTAAAGCGTTGTGAGGAGACAAACTTGGTGCTTAACTGGGAAAAATGCCACTTCATGGTTAAGGAGGGGATCGTGCTTGGCCATAAGATATCAGAGAAGGGTATTGAAGTCGACAAAGCAAAGATTGAAGTGATGACAAGCCTTGAACCGCCAGTTAACATCAAAGGAGTGAGAAGTTTCTTGGGACACGCCGGCTTCTACAGGCGTTTCATCAAAGATTTTTCTAAGATTGCACGCCCTCTTACGCGGCTGTTATGCAAGGAGGCTGAATTCGTCTTTGATGAGGAGTGTTTGCGAGCTTTCGTGACCATCAAGGAGGCCCTAGTATCCGCGCCTATAGTGCAAGCACCAGACTGGACTCTACCTTTCGAGATTATGTGTGATGCTAGTGACTATGCCGTGGGAGCTGTTCTTGGCCAAAGGAAGGATAAGAAGCTGCACGTGATTTACTATGCTTCAAGAACCTTGGATGACACACAAACGAGGAATACCACTACGGAGAAGGAGCTATTGGCGGTTGTATTCGCCTTTGAGAAGTTCAGGGCTTACCTCGTGGGTTCCAAGACCATTGTTTACACAGATCACGCGGTTTTGCGCTACATCTATTCCAAGAAGGACACTAAGCCGAGGCTTTTGAGATGGATCCTCTTACTCCAAGAATTTGACATGGAAATAAGAGACAAGAAATGGATAGAGAATGGCGTTGCTGACCATCTCTCTCGGTTAAGAATCGACGAGTCTCTCCTTTTAGATGATTCTCTCCCCAAGGAACAACTCATGGCAATCACTACGGCTGTTTGTGGGAGCTTAGAGGGGCAGTTTGAGGAAGTTCTGAGCTTCAAAGAGGAGGATCTCCCTTGGTACGCGGATATGGTGAACTACTTGGCATGTGGGGAGGAGCCTTCGCATCTTGACAACTACCATACGAAGAAGTTCATGAGGGACGTGAGCCACTACTATTTGGATGAGCCATATTTATACAAGAGAGGCGTTGATAGCCTGTACAGAAGATGCGTGACAAAGGAGGAAGCAAGAGATATCATCTTCCATTGCCACGGTTCTTTGTATGGCAGGCACTTCGCTTCATTCAAAACCGCCACTAAGGTCTTGCAAGCCGGCTTCTGGTGGCCGTCCATCTTCAAAGACACCCATGAGTTCGTGATGAGTTGTGAAGCTTGTCAAAGAGCAGGGAATATCACTAGATGTTATTCTGATCTTATTTTCCCTTTAGCATCCTTGAGTCTTCATTGCATGAAAAATTGGCAAAATTTTTAAAAATTTTAAGAAAAATTCATGTAGTTGCATTCACATTGTTAAGCATTTTAGGATTGAGTTTAGAATTTTTAAGCATCTAGGTTGTTTACATTTGCATAAGGAGTTAAATTTTTTAAAAAAAGGTGTTTTAAGCTTATGAATGGTTTCAATATCCTAGTTGGTAGTTCTCTAATGCTTTGCTCATACTTTGAAAGTAAGTTCTTATCATGCTTGGATCACTAGTTTTGATTTTTGTGACTTGAATTGAACTCTCATGATTTGAAACTTGTCATATTAAGTGAGAACCTTAACTTAAATTTTTAAATATCATTCTTATGCACTTAAAAATGAACGCATGGATTTTAAAAATATTTAGGCTCTCTTCTTCCTTTTACCATTCTTTGTGAGCCTAAGTAGAACTCTCATCTTGATCCTTACCTTTTTTTGAAGCCAAGTTTTTGTGTGTGACATCATTGTGAGGCCTCTTCCGATTTGAATTTAGCATAAAATATTACGTTTAGGCGACATGATTAAGTTCTCATATGATTGCTAGCTTTGTATTTTGAAACTAGATGTAGGCTTAGTTATTAGTATGATTACTATATTTTGGGCTAATAATAATATGGTCGGTTATAATAATTTTTTTTATTTGTTTGTTTTTGTTTCTGAACATCGTTATTTGTTTTTGATCTATAAAATTTTTTTTCCGATAGTCTACAGTCCGTACAGACGTGCAGGCAAACCACCTCGTTATAGCTTATATTCTGATCAATACAAATACATAATAAAGGTTATACAGTTAATTTATAAAAATATTTATGGTTATTCACGCCAATTTCTATAAATTAAAATACACAAATGAAAAGAGAAAAAAAAAATAAAAAATTGCATAAAGCAACACGTGACTCTTCATTTCTTGGGAAAGTTACAGCGAAGCGAGGAGAAGAACAATTGCATGTGAACCTCTCTTTCTCTCTCTATGATATAAGAAAACAAATGGCCCGTGAACCAACAAAACTTAAAACCTCACACACTTAAATCCAATGAAAGCTAACAGAAACCAAGCTGTCTCTTTAGTCTTTTGAACCATTTGACCAATACTTATTATAATAATAACACAATTAAAAGAAAAACTACATAAGACAAATAATTGGTACTGTACTATTACTCGTCCTTTTTCTCAAGCGTTAGAGAAGACAAAGAGACAGAACAAAAGTTTATCAATGGAGAAGGAAGGATGTGAGATCGAAGCTTTAGATATTGATTACAACATATTTATACAGAAGATTAAGGTTAATCCTTTCGGAATCTTTACACGGAAACCAGAAGCTGACCAGCCGGTTCAGACAGAAGACGAGCCATCGACGCTTGAGCATGGAACCTGCAACAAAGTCAAGCATGTACTAAAAGGAGTGACCTGCAGAGCCAAACCATGGGAGATTCTCGCCATTGTTGGTCCAAGTGGTGCAGGGAAGTCTTCTTTGCTTGAAATTCTAGCTGGTAGACTCATTCCACAAACAGGATCGGTTTTTGTTAACCAGAAACCGGTTGATAGAGCCAATTTCAAGAAAATCTCAGGTTATGTCACTCAGAAGGACACTCTGTTTCCTTTACTTACAGTGGAGGAAACCCTTTTGTTCAGTGCCAAACTGCGTTTAAAGCTCCCAGCAGATGAACTGAGATCACGGGTTAAGTCATTGGTGCGTGAGCTTGGGCTCGAAGCTGTTGCTATGGCTCGTGTTGGGGATGATAGCTTTAGAGGGATATCGGGTGGAGAGAGACGCCGTGTCTCCATAGGAGTTGAAGTTATTCATGATCCAAAAGTTTTGATTCTTGATGAGCCAACCTCTGGTCTTGACAGTACTTCGGCTCTGCAGATCATAGACATGCTCAAGCTCATGGCTGAAACACGGGGCCGGACCATAATTCTGAGTATCCACCAACCGGGTTTTCGTATAGTCAAACTGTTCAATTCTGTTCTTCTGTTGGCCAATGGCTCGACCTTGAATCAGAGCTCGGTTGATCAACTTGGCGTGTACTTAAGGTCAAATGGTTTGCAGCCTCCTCTCCATGTAAACATCGTTGAATTCGCCATTGAGTCAATCGAAGCCATCACTAAGCACCAAAGGCTACAGGAAAGCAGAAGAGTTGCTCATGCCCTAACATCGCAAACAACATTACAAGAGAATAGATCAGAAGATAGTCAAGGGGAGGGAAGGAGTGGCAAGTTTACACTACAACAGCTGTTTCAACAATCAAGGGTTGTTGATGTAGGAACGATGAACATAGGGACGGAATTCACCAGAGATTTCGCGAATTCGAGACTAGGGGAAACAATGATACTCACTCATAGGTTCTCCAAGAACATTTTCAGAACCAAGGAGCTGTTTGCGTGCAAAACGGTTCAGATGCTAGGTTCAGGAATTGTTCTAGGTCTGATCTTCCATAATCTGAAAGACGATTTAAAAGGTGCGCGCGAAAGGGTCGGCCTCTTTGCATTCATATTGACCTTCCTGCTAACTTCAACAATAGAGGCACTTCCTATCTTTCTACAAGAAAGAGAGATTCTGATGAAGGAGACATCTAGTGGAAGCTACAGAGTGTCTTCATATGCCGTCGCTAATGGACTTGTTTACTTGCCATTTCTGCTCATCCTAGCTATCCTATTCTCAATCCCAGTGTACTGGCTGGTGGGATTGAACCCTAATTTCATGGCGTTTCTGCACTTTTTGCTCCTTATTTGGTTGATCCTCTACACAGCAAACTCAGTGGTTGTGTGCTTCAGTGCACTGGTTCCTAACTTCATTGTTGGAAACTCAGTGATCTCCGGTGTGATGGGTTCCTTCTTTCTGTTCTCTGGTTACTTCATATCGAAGCATGAGATCCCTGGTTACTGGATTTTCATGCACTACATCTCTTTGTTCAAGTACCCCTTTGAAGGATTTCTGATCAACGAGTTCTCCAAGTCAAGCAAGTGTTTGGAGTATGGATTCGGAAAATGCTTGATGACCGAGGAGGATCTACTAAAAGAAGAAAGGTATGGAGAAGAAAATAGATGGAGAAATGTTGTGATCATGCTATGCTTTGTCTTACTCTACAGGTTCGTTTCCTATGTGACACTGAGGTGTAGATGTTCACAGAGAAGTTTCAAAACCACTCTTGTTTGATAGATTTAGTAACGATAGGTCTTTTCTGCAAATCATCGAGTTATAAGTTTGTTCAAATGTTTAATTACTTACTTCGTAGAGGAGCCGAACATGTAAAAGAAACTGTTGCTTATGCAAAATATCTTTTCCAGTGATTCCATCATATCTAATAAACTACATGTTTCAATCCCCTTAAGTTTCAACAACAAAACATATCTAGCAAAGGGACTCACATGGCATTGTCCCAAAAAAGACTAGATGAATAATCCATTTTCGCAGACGAGAGTGGTCCTGTTTCGGCATGATCTTGTTCCGGACTCATCTCTGATGTCAGAACATCAAGAAGCGAGTGTATTTGCCTTTTTCGAGGATGTCTTTTATCTTTAACCATGAAAACATGAGCACGTCCTTGTATCACTATTCGACTACATCCTGGCTGCTTTATGACTCCTTCTTCCCTCATCAAATTTCTCACATTCATCACATCTTCCCATTGTCCGAGCTCGGCGTGCATGTTAGAAAGAAGAACATACGGTCCTGAATCTGAAGCCCCTACTTCTCGAAGCTTCTCTGCAACGTATTCACCTAACGTTATGTTTCTACAAACTTTACAAGCACCAAGCAAAGAACCCCAAATAACAGAATCTGGCTCTATTGGCATCTTCTCAATCATGCTCTTTGCTTCTTCGAGAAATCCAGCTCGGCCAAGCAAATCGACCATACACGTATAGTGATCTAAAAGCGGAGCCACACCAAATTCTCTGGTCATGGAAGAAAAGTAATGCCGCCCTTCTTCAACTAAACCAGCATGTCCGCACGCAGAAAGAACGCCAATCATGGTTATGTGATCTGGTTGTTCTCCAGAATCAAGCATTTCTCTGAACAACTCAAGAGCCTCATTTCCATAACCATTCTGCGCGAATCCAATTATCATCGCGTTCCAGGAGACGCAATCTCTTTCCATCATCTTCCTAAATACAAGATAACCATCTTCTACGCAGCCACATTTTGCATACATGTCTATCAAGGAATTGCCAACAAATATATCAGCTTCTTCACCAGATTGAAACTTAAACCCATGCTTCAACACATGAACATGAGCCTGCATCCCGAGATGTAACTCCGCAAGATCTGCACATGCCTTGAGGATATTCGCAAAAGTATAGTGTGTTGGGCATACTGATTCCCTCTTTAAGAGAACAAAAAGACTAAGTGCTTCTTCGTTTTCCCCGTTTTGAGTATAGCCAGCGATAAGAGCATTCCATGAAACAATATTCCTCTCGGTCATCTTGGTGAACATGAGCCTAGCAGCCTTAGTGCTCGCAGCCATCGCGTACCCACTGATCATGGAGGTTTCCGCGACTATGTTTCTGAAAGGCATGCTATCAAATAAGAACCTAGCTTCTTTTATTCTACCGCACTTTGCATACATATCCACAAAAGCATTGCTTAGAATTATGTCATTCCTTAACTTATCGTTTTTAGCAACACGGCCGTGAACTTCCTGACCAACCTCAATCGCAGACAAGCTCGCACAGGCGCTAACCACACTTGCTAATGTAACCTCATCTGGCTCAACACTAGCTTCTAACATCACATGAAAAACTTTGAGAGCTTCCGCTGCAGGACCATTTTGTTCGTAGCATGTAATCAAACTATTCCAAGTTACAACATTTCTATCACCCATCTCATCGAAAACCTTCTGAGCATCGTCTACGTTTCCGCATTTGGAATACATATCAACAAGAGCAGACCCTATATGAACATCTGACAAACGAGGCGATTTCGCAACCAAAGAATGTATCTGTACACCTCTATGCATATCATTTAAACCGGAACAAGCGCTAAGACCACTAGCAAAAGTATATTCATTGAGCACAAAGCCTTCTTTGTGCATCAAAGCAAAATAATTCAAAGCCTCTTCACACCTATCATGCTGTGCAAATCCCGAAACCATCGAATTCCAAGTACACTGATCGCGGTTGGGCATTGATCGAAACAGAGAATCAGCTTCATCTAAAAACCCTAACTTGGCTAAAGCCGCCATAAGAGGGTTCCAAGAGTACACATTTCGTTCAGGCATTTTGTCGAACACTTTGCGACTATCCTCGAGTGACCCACATTTCGCATAGGCGTCGATGAGACGATTCTGTATATAGACCTCGTTGAAGAAAGGGGATTTGATGATAGAAGCATGGACGCTACGGACATAAGTTGGTGATAACTTGGATTTGATGCACGAATCCAGAAGCTTTGAGAATGGTGAAGAATCCTTGAAAGAGAGATCACCAGCGAGTTTGAGATATGATTGTCTTGCCATTCCATTATTGTTGAAGAAATTCTCAAGCAGAACATGGATTTGGACTTCTCGAGCAATCAAGGCTACACATATTTTGTTTTGCTGGATTCGAGTAGACAGAAGAAGTCTCAGCGAAAGGCCGGTTTTAGGACAACATATGCTGAACCTCAGATCGTATTTATAGCCAAATGCCCGATAACCATCTTCAAATAATATGCATGGTTTAAAATTCTAAAAATTGAAATTTATGGCTTATTACATTTAATCTATTAAATTGTATCGAATTTTATTTAAGAAGTACTCCCTCCGTTTTTTTAAGATTGATGTTTAACATCTTTCACATATATTAAGATACAATAATTACTTATTTTATTAGTTATTTATATTTATATTTTTAGTTATTTTTTTAGTTTTCAATACAAGCTAACCAATAGTTTGTTTTTAATTTATCTTGTAAAACTAAATACATTAATTAGAGTGCAAAACATCAATCTTTTAAAAACAAAAACAAAATCTAAAACATCAATCTTTAAAAAAACAGAAGGAATATTAACTATTATAATTTATCATTTTGTTATCATTTTCCTGTTTGTGTGACCATCATCTATATTTGATTTCATCTTATTACAAAAAGTGATAAATTAATTGAATTTAATTACTTTATAACATAGGCGATTATAATATACTTTTGTGAAAAGATTAGAGTTCATTAACCAGAAAAGTTCTATTTGAGAAAATGAGATCTAAAGTTCGACTAAGTTTTGAGCTTTTCTAGAAATTTTGGAATGTGAACAGTTAGAAGATCTGATTGTGAGTCTGAGCCAACTTGTTATACCATCTCTAATCCATTTTGCTATTTTTTCTCTAAAATAAAGGAACTCTAAAATAGAGATAGATTTCTCTCCAATCCACCTCTATTTTAGAGGAATACCTCTATTTTAGTGGAAAATATAGAGGAACCTATTTTTCCTCTATATTTGTAGGAAAAAGTAGCATCTCTATTTTTTCCTCTAAAATAGAGGTGGATTGGAGAACAAAAATGACACTTCTATTTTTTCATCTAAAAATAGAGAAAAAAATAGCAATAGATTGGAGATGCTCTTAGGTCACTTGGAGATCTTAAAACATGAATGGTTAATCTCTGAAGAAAACATAAATACCAAACAGAGATGACGGAGAAAATCCTTTGGAAATGCCTATAGAAAATATAAAAATATAAATTTTGAAAATAAGATAATATAAGTTATGTGCAATTAAATCAATATAGTAGACACACAGGTCGTTATTGTAAAATATAATAATATGTTATTGGTTTTACATGAAATTTCTGTTTTTAATATTGCATTTAGTTTTTTTTTCTTCTCCTTCTCCCTTCCTATTCTTTCTTCTTCATTTCTATTATCTGTTTCTTTTTAAACAGAAAGAGAAGAAAGAATTGTTGGGATCGATCTCCGCTTATTGTTGTTTTCCAAACCCAACTTTTATATTTAAAGATATAATATATTACTGAGTTTATATATAATTTGTGTTCTTATGTTGTAGTCGATTTTTTACAGGTTTGAATATCTAGTTGTAATTTTGTTAACCATACTATTATTTTTATTTAAAAATATTTATCTCGAATCATCGGTTTGATATATCTTGTTGGTTTGGTCCACCTATCTGGTTCAATATACATGAATGGTTTAATCCGTCTTTATTGATCCAACTCGTTGTTTCTGCTCAGCAGTTCGCCAGTTCGGCTCGGTGCTTTGCCAGCTCAGCTTGTCAGTCTGGCTTATCACCTCTTCGATTTGGCTAGGCTCATTTCCATTACTAACCTTTTCTTTGTTGATTTCGTCATAGTGGAGACCGACCCCAACAATTCTTTCTTCTCTTTCTGTTTCTCCTGCTTCTTCTTCTTAATTACTTCTTCTTCATCTTTTCTTCTTCTCTCCCTTCATTCATTTTTGTTCTTCTCCTTTTCCTTTTTATCCTTTATTTTTCTTTTTCTCCGTTTTTCTTCTTCTTCCTTTTTTAGATTACCATGAAGTTCTGGACCGAAGCCTGCAATCTCTGCAGGCCCGAAACCACGTCATGTAATATTAGTTTAATACCAAGAGTTACTCGATCATGTGATCTCTAAGCTTTGCCTAGATCCTTTATCAGTCGAGCTAACGACTCTTGGTTACTCCTTCGTCTTCTCCTCCATCCCTTCTTCTTCTTCTTTTTCTTATTTTCTTCTCATTCTTCTCCTTCGTTGTTCTTCATCTCTCTCCTTCTTTTTCTTCTTCTATGTATCTATATTCTTCTCCTTATTATCCTTCATCTTCTTCTTCTCTTCCTCCTCCATGTCTTCTTCTTCTTCATCTATTCTCTTTCTTCTCTGTTCTCCTTTTCCATTTTTTCATTGTCTCTATTGGTCTTATTCGTCATCACTTCTCCTTCTTCTTATTCGTTTTACTTCTTTTTCATTCCTTCTTATTATCCTTTCTTTTCCTTCTTCTTCGGTATCACTTATTCTCCTCCTTCTCATGTTCTTCTCTTTTTTTTTCTCCCTTTTCTTCTTTTTCATCTACTCTTCTTCTCATCCATCACTTCTCTTTATTCTCCTCCTTCTTCTCCTTCTTATTTGTTCTTCTTCTTCTTTGTCAAACAAAAAATAATAAATTTAAACTAAAAAATAAAAATAAAAATAACAATCATATACATAGTAAACAAACTGAAACAAAATATTTAATATATAAAAAATTAATTTCGACTAAAAAATATTGATGTTTGCAAAAATATTTTTTTTGAAAATCTTAAAAGAAAGAGCAATTAGCCAAAATAAATTAGAGAAAATGAGATAATATGACTTACTGTTAATATTTCTCTTAGAGTTTATTGAAATAATATTATAATAAATAGTTTTATTTTGTTAATTGTAAATTATGAAAATCTTTTATTATTTTACTATTTATTATTAATATGTTTTTACATCTACAATAAAAATTATCAATATTTTTTGTAATTTTTTTGAAAATATGGTACAATACATATTTTTTAGAATATGCTTTAAATTTATGCAGTTACTGTTTCTTAATTCAAAAATATTTTGATTTTCTTTGAAAAGCTTGCTCCATCATTTTGGTAATCGAATATTAATAAAATATTACAAAATCGATTCATTAGATATTTTATAGAACTAAATATAATTTAAATAAAATTATATGGTTATTATCTTTTACTGTTAATTAACCATGGTATTTTTTAAAATTTGATCATGTTGATTTTAAATTTGAAATTAATCTAATCAAAAATTAATTTGATATTAGATTGCACTAAACATATAACAAATAATTTATAATTAGTCATAAAAATTAGGTTTTAGTTTATTTTCCTACAAATATATGTGTTTGATTATATTATTGCATAATAATAAGAATATAATTTTCTTTTTGTAATAATTCTTTTGCAATATGTTTTATATTATGTAAATGTATAATTTAATTATATATATATTTATATTAATTATAATTGTTATTTTCTTATATTGTTACATAATAATAAATATTTGAAAATATTATTTGTTATTTTTCGAAAAATGTTTACATTGTATAAATATTTACAATTAATAATTATAGTAATTATAATTATCATATATAGTAATTATAATTATCATTTTTATATAAAGTTGGTTGTAATTAATTATATAATTAATTAAAATTTTAGAAATAACTATTTATGGAAAATTCGAAATTAACTAAATATGTTTGGTAATTGGAGTTAAACTAATCTAAAGAATATTTGAAAATTAATGTGTTTGGTAATAGGAATATAAGAATTAAATAAAGAAAAAAGAAAATAAATATTAATTGGTTGAATTAACAAATGACTAAACTATCATTAATGAAAATCTAAAGAAAAAATTAAAATGCAATAGTATTTCATGTAATATATCACATAAAATATTACATGAAATATGTTTAAACATTAAAGAGATCCTTAACTAATAGTATGGATTTTTTGTTTGGACAGCTGTTTGGATTTTTTTTTTTTTTTTTTCCTAAACTCATATCTTCGTCTTTCTCTTCTCCTTTCTCTTATTCTCTCTATTATCATAATCACCATCTATCATCATCAATTCATCATCATCAATTCATCCAGATATCTTCGAGATGATTAACTTATAATATTGTTTCTGCTAGAATAATCGGTGGGCTTTCATATCTTATGCTGGCTTTAACTCTTATTCTCTCTTGGAAAGCGACTCACTATGTACATCAGGTTAGTTTGATTGGTTTTTTTGATCTGCTGAATTCCTTCAGTGATTTTAGATGCCGATGCATTTATCAGTTGCTTGATTTTGATCTGATTTCTTTTATCTTTCGGTTTCCTACTTTAGAGTCTAAGTGGCTCGATTCTGAAAAGTAGAATAGGAGTGTATCTGAAGAATTTTCGGGTAATCCTGTGAGTGATGTTTATGGATCTTATCAGGTTTTAATCTTTAGTATTTTATACTGTTTGTAGATAAAACATTTGGAAGTATTATTTTGACGTTCTATTTGTTTACGGCAACTCCTGAATTTGGTTTTAAAGGGAAAGCTTGGAGATTTCTGTTTCAGTATGTAACTATGTATTTTCAGAAGAAATTGTTTAAAGTAAAAGTCTTTTGATCGTTCTGTTGGAAAACCCTTTACTAAAAATTCAATGAAGGCGCAGCTTCAGTCAAAAAATCATCTGCAGAAAATAAGCTTTAAGAAATTAGTCTTTTCAATATTTGGATTTTAAAAAGTTGTAGTGAGAGAGGACTTATGGATCCATAAGGAGCAACTAATTTGTAATGAACACACCAAGTCACGTTGTCTTTTCTTGTTGTGTTGTCGTCTTTGAGGGTTAGAATCTTAGAATCATAGGAGATGGAAGAGTTTAAAATTTAATTGATTTGTTTTTCTTTTGGTTTTGCTCACTTGATGCAAAACATTTGTTTTCACAGCCACATGCACAAGACGGAGAAGGAGTTATGGTGTCGTTGTAGAAACAATAGGAGGCGCAACAGCTTGGATGCTTTACTGTGAGTATGTACAGGTAATATTCCATTCCATATCACTACAGAAACATAAGTTTGAAATCATGTTTAGAGATCAATGATAAAGGAAATATATGAAATTTTAAACTAAAAGAAACTAAACTTCTACAACTTTGATCTATTCCATTTAATTTAAAGACTCAAACTTTTCAAAAAATATTCAAAATTCAAAACTGGGAGTTTAAATGGACTTAATTCGACTTTGTTGGTTAGTTCAAAATTCAAATTTAATTCAACTTTAGCAATTTTGATTCTGAACTGCCAACGAAATAGTAATGGTAAGTTTTTTTTGTATCTTTCAAGAAAATTTAGTGACATGACACATTTTAGAAAGTAAGGAATGAGGCTAACCTTAATGTCACCAGATTCATTGTCCAGAACAGGGTCACCATATTCATAGAAAGATACTTCCTGACAGAAGAGATCGATAAGCTGAAAGTGAGTTTAAAAGCTACTTTCAAATGTAGTATCTAAGATTTATGATAAAGTAGAGATAGGAGGCTTTCTAACAATATTAACTGTGACAAAGTAATGAAGTATAGTACCCTGAAAGATAGATTATAGTGATAGATTATAGTGTTGTTAATATAAGTAGATTTACTTTGTGCCAACACTCCTGATTTAAGATTTCATCTTTATAAATATTTTCTGCTTACAGTTTCATTAGCAAGAATCAGCTCCAGTGATCCACCAGATTGTGCGGTGTATTACTTTTAGGACTTTGACACGGACTCTTCAGCCTGTTTTGAAAGGCCTGATGCCGGACAAATTAGTAAAACCAATGAGAGAACTCATTTTTGTGTTAATAAGAACGTGCCATTCAGGTTGCTTTGTTTTATAGACTGGGTGAAATAGCTAAGACGAAGGAAGTATTTATAGGGGAAATGAATTCAACTATGTCAAATTTAATTAGTTTCAAACAATTCAAAAATATATGGAAGATCTTTGCGGAAAAAGTTTATTTAGTCAACAATACAGAAAATTGGAGATATATTGATAGGAATTTGGGATATGCGGAATATCCTCTCTATTGTTTTAATGTAAATCGCTTTTAGTTAGTTGGCAGTATAAAGCTTAACCGCAAAATCTTGTAAATGCAATATATGGTTGAGATGTGAAGAGTATATACTGCCTTCACATATTCTCTTCATCAAATCCGAATACTTTAGGGGTTATTGGTTTTTGTATTTTGGTGGATTTATAAATTTTTTTTGGATTTGATAAATTTATTGATTTTAAAATCAGCAAAATGGAAAAAAATCAAATCCACTCAAATACCAATGTTAGACTTTGTATTTGGGTCTTTATATTTTAGTCATGAAATTTTTTTCAAATCCATTCAAATTAAATTAAAACTCAAATCTTTATAATATTTAGATTTTAAAATGATAGAACCAATAACACTGTATTTCATTATGGATTTTAAAATCATAAAACCAATAATATTGTATGTCAATATAGATTTTAAAATACAAGAACTAATAACACTGAGTAGGGGTTATTGGTTTTTGTATTTTGGTGGATTTATAAATCTTTTTTGGATTTGATAAATTTATTGATTTCAAAATCAGCAAAATAGAAAAAAATCAAATCCACTCAAATACCAAGGTTAGACCTTGTATTTGGGTCTTTGTATTTTAGTCATGAAAATCCTTCCAAATCCATTCAAATTCAATTAAAACTCAAATCATTATAATATTTAGATTCTAAAATGATGGAACCAATAACACTGTATTTCATTATGGATTTTAAAATCATAAAACCAATAACACTGTATTTCAATATAGATTTTAAAATACAAGAACTAATAACACTGAATTTGGTTTGGATTCTCAAATCCATTAAATTACAAGAACCAATAACACCTCCTTAGTTAGTTGTTTGTTATATAGTTTAACCGAAATATCTTGTAAATACAATATCTGGTTGAGAGGGGTGGGCACTTCGGTTTTTGGTTTGGTTTCGGTTTGGTTTTTTCGGTTTTACGGTTTATCGGTTTTACGAAAATTCAAACCATATAAAAGCCATATATATTTCGGTTCGGTATGGTTTGGTTTTTTACGGTTCGGTTTAATATGGTTTGGTTTCGGTTTTTTTGGAATTATACTTTTACGGAAAATTTTGATTCAAACTAATGAAAAAAATAGTAATAGATATGAGTAAAATAAAACAATAAGTTCAAAAAATAGAATCAAAATCATAAAAAATTCATCAATAAGGACATATTTCAAAACAGATAAACAAATAAATTATCAAATATTTCATAATAAATAATTATAAAACAATAAACAAATCTAGATTAAAATTTAATACATGTAACCTTGGAACTAGAACTAGAAGATATGAATGTGAAGAAAAATGAGTTAATCACGTTATTTTTTATTGAAAAATTAAGATTTACTTTATTATTTATATGTAGATATTTTTTATAAATATTATATTTTAAATTTATGAGTTAGGCTAGTAAATTATAAAGATAACTAAGCTCAATAATAAAATATGTACCTAAACTAAATTAAGAAACTAGAAAAATATAAATTATTTAAAATTTAGTTTAAAAACCGAAAAAACCTTTTGGTTTGACGGTTTTTAACCAAACCAAACCTAAACCAAAACTATAAAAAAATAATGGTCAAATGGATTTTTAGGTTTAACCATAACCAAACCATATCACTTTTTCGGTTCAGTATGGTTTGGTTTTTTCGGTTCGGTATGGTTTGGTTTTTTCGGTTATGGTTTTTGTGTCCACCCCTAGCGTACGGGAAGTAAGTGTTGCCGGTTAGGATTTAATGTCAATGTTTTAAATAGATTTAGTTGAGTATTAAAGGTTTAAAATTTTAAAATCTTTGGTGAACTAAAAATTTGAAAACGTCTAAACGATAAATAGTATCTTAGTAGAAAACCAGTTAATGTGTTTCTCTTTTAATCATATTCAAATAGTTTTGAAAACATATGGTTTGGTATTCTTCATGCTAAGACATTAACACACTCGATTACTAAGTACATTTTTGGGTTAATAGGACAGCGGAAAACAAACACAAATAATGGCTTAGTAGAAAGACTTGATTTAAGTGTGATTGTGAATTAATGTTTTGTTTCTTGTGTGTTGATCGAAGCAGGAACAAAGCCAGTTCAAAATGACACATAAATTGTTGGATATTACATCATGCAGCTGATAACTAGCTTTTTAGCATGTTTAATCAAACCTAAAGCATAGTTTTGTTGTTGTAATACTTCAGGAATCAATCCAAATCAGGTTGTTGAAAGATATCAAGAATACAAGAGCTTTGTAAATGTAAGTGAAATCCGGATAATTTGGGAAGAAAATCTGAAAAAAACTAATTGCAGCTACTAAATGACCATAAAAACTATTTTATAATCTCTACTGATGGGTTAAACAAATACCAGGTGATCTCTAAGAATTTAAAATGCAAATCTACTGGTTTTTAAAATTCGAAAACTAAAAGCAGATAAAAAGGGAAAGTTCTAACAACCCAGGAAATGATTTTTAAGAAGCTAAGACAAAAGATTCAAAATTTAGAACTGGGAAATGATGACTTTAAGTTTTTAAAGGTTATAAGTAGATTCAAAGTTGATGATCACACTTAAGGAGGTTCAAGATTTAAACTTTGGGTTTCGAAAATATAGATCTACACATTTTAGTGTTATCTCTAGGCCTTGAGAAGCTAAAGCTAGATATATCCATGGTGTTTGGAATAAATCATTTCCTCAACCTTTCCTCCTAACTCATGGCGTGTGGTGGAAAGAAAGGGTGAAGAACATGAAGCATAAATCTCAAGAATGGCCTAACTAGCTCTCTAAGCATCCATGGCGTTTGGGAAAGGGTGAGCTAGTCTCTTGGATTTGGATTTAAGGGATCTCCTAAGTTCTGCTAAGATAAAGAAATCCCTGAGATCAAAGGGATATTTCTCAAGAGTCTCTAGGCTTTAAAACTCCCAAATCCAAGAAGAGATTAGGTTAAGTGCAAGAAAAACCCAAGCTTAAACCCTAAAAACCCTCTTAATCACCCCAACCTTAAACACTTGGTGGATTAGTCACTACACATGATTAGAGCATATGAAAATGTAAAGGAAGAAAGGATGAACATGACTAAACGACTAAACAAGAAAGATTAAGATAAATACTTAAGATTAAAAGCAAGATTAAGGTTTTATAAAATATGAAAAGCTTCAAATTAACAATGGCGGTTTTTAGACTTAAAGAAGAAGGAGACAGATTATATGGATCTCTTCTTGCCCAAAAATAGCGTAAAAACATTTTATACCAAAAGGGAAATGGTCCCCTCACTAAATTCCAAAACGTGAACTGTCCGGATAAGGTTAGAGATCGACCTGAGTCGTCGATCTCTAACTCGATCTTCTGCATAGAACGTCCTCTTTTGCCCGATCGTCGGGTTGATTCAGTCGGGTGGATCGAGCGCTTCTATCGATCTTCTGGTCGATCCTCTAACGATCGAGTCGTGACCTCGATCTGGCCCTCGTTCTTGGTCTTAGTTTCCGTGTCCGTACTCACGTTCGATCATCTTGGGCGATCTTGACCTCGATCTTCTTCTTTGAAACGACCCGAGTGTCTCGATCTTTTGGTCGATCTCGTCTAGATCGACCTGCCTAGCTCGATCTTCGCCTCGATCTCGGTTCCTTTGCTACATGGCCGAGTTCTTCCAAGTATCCATAGACTCTCTTTCGATCCTTAGCATATCCACGCACCCTCCATAGCTCCAGTGTATCTAAAACAACTTGAATATGATGCAAGAATGCAAGAAATATACAAATGCTAATGCAAAGTGTTCTAGAACCTAAAATGAGATAAATGGTGCAAACTAGACTATTATGAAAGATGTATGCACGAAAACTACTCTAAATGTATACTAAATATGCGAAATATATGAGTATATCAACTCCTCCAAACTTGCCTTTTGCTTGTCCTCAAGCAAACAAAATTCAAGCTCGGAACAGAGGTTTAAAAATGGGGGGTTCAAAATCCAAAAGTGTTTTTCAAATGAATCAATTCAATGGTCCTAGTTCTCAATTCTAGGATGCAGTACACAAACTTCTACTCTAAAGAACTTAGCCATATTCATCACATATTGAATCTCAAATCATGACTCGCCTATTCCAAACAATCCAAGAATCTTAACCTTTAACATTCATTTAAGTTTAAACTGTGAATCACACTTATGCATTTAAAGCCAAATACATTCGGCTAGGGACAAGGTTATGAGATAAAAATGATCTCATTCATGTGGGTACTCCAAGCAATAGTTTATCTCAAAAAGGATTGAATTTATGCATAATGCTAAAGGTAAAAGACAATGTATGCATACATGACTAGACTCTCATCTGCCCAAATATACTAACAATGATCCTAATCCCTCTCTCATTTTTTTTTCAAGCTCACTCACCCTCTAGAGACTATCCAAATCAAACAAGGCAAGACGCCAATCATAACCCATATAAACACATTCATTCAAATTCATCTTAGGGAAACATCTTCAACCTTTCTTATAGCTAGTGGTATGGCTATATATATATTTTTAGCTCTTTTCTTTTCTTTTGATAGCTCTCTTCTCATATATATATATATATATATTTATTTTTATTTTCTTTATGCACATGGTCTTTTGGCTCTTTTCTTATAATTTTTTTTTTTTAGAGCTATCTCTTTTTCTTTTCAATTTGAGTTTTTATTTAAAACAATTCAAGACCATCAGCTTAAAACTATGTATCCCTTTTTATTCAAACTCCAAACACCAACTTCTTTTCAAACCCGAAACAAGTAAGCATTTTCTTCAACACCCGTGAATTCTAAGCATTTTCTTCAACACCCGTGAATTCTCACCCCAAATCAAGCCTAAAAGTAGCTTCAATATGCAAAGCTAGCATCAATATGAGAGCCTAACATGTCACCCTAAACCTAACACTCTATACCAAGTTCAACCGAAAATTTAAGGCCTCACAATATCACACACAAAATTTGGCTTGAAAGGAGGGTAAGGGTTAAGGTGAGGAGTTCTATTTAGGCTTACAAAAGAGTGGTGAAGGGAATAAGAAAGCCTAAATATGTATATGTAATCCATGTATTCTTTTTCAAATCTATACTATTATTTGGGAAGTAGCTTTCCGACATGGCGTTCCCACGTTCGTTCTCACCATACTTTAGCCATCGATTTTTCCAATTATACTCTTAATGAAAGCCGTGATCTAATTCTCGGTTTAGTGTTATTGATTTTGATTTTGATTTTGAATTGTAGCCCACAAAATTATTCATTGTAAACCCAATATTATTTTGTGTAAACCATAAATATATTTTTCTATAAATAGTGTAATTCTCTTTAGCTACTTTTATTTTTCTTGCAGCCGTAGGTTTAGCTTCGTTCATATAGATTTTCCTGTAGGTTTAGTTTAGTTCATGCATATTATTGTTTGTTTGTTTTTGTTATATTTGGTATATAAGACTGATTTTGTAAGTTTTTGTTTTATGATATATGCATAAAGGATAATCAACAAAAGCTAACCCTAAAAAATCAAACAAAAAGTATGTTTTTTATGTTTTTTCTTCACATCGAGCTTCGGATAACATGATATTCACGATTATTGGTAAGAATCCAAACCCTCTTCTTCTACTTTTGAGGGTTTAATTTAGTTAATGCATATCATAATTTGTTCGTCGTCTTCTTATATTTGGCGTATGATTTATCGATTTTTGTTTTAGGGTATATGGAGAAAGATAATCAACTAATGCCAGCCCTAAAAGGTCAAACAGAAAGGTATGTTTGTTTTATCTTTATGTTTGTCTTTCACGTCTAGCTTCAGACTACATGATATTCATTTTACTGGTAAGAATCGAAGTCCTCTTCTTCTCCTTTTGATCCAGACAAAGATGAACACGATATATTTTATTGACGAGGCTTATTTTTGTTTTATTTGGTATGAGTCTGATCTTTTTTTGGTTTGTTTAAAGGTATATGGAGAAAGAAAATCAAATGCACACTCTTTCTGTCTCTGTCCTTCTCTCTCTCCAATCGGAAGCAAATATGGATTCCACGAAGCTTAGTGAGCTCAAGGCCTTCATTGATCAATGCACCCTTCCCTTCTCTCTACATCTACGCTCTCTTTCATCTGCGAGTACCTCAAGAGGTAGTACTTTTCATCTTCTCTAACTTTGCTTTGATCTAATCATCTTTTTTTATGCTTTAGTTTGTATCTGTGGTGGTTGGGATCAGAAAGTATTGATCTTTGAGTCTATGTTTGTGGATAGTGCTTTATTTTCTGAATCTCACTGAAATTTCGTGAAATTGATATCCGCTTTTCCCATTTGTTGAAGAAAAGTCACGCTTTGGTTTTAAATTCCTTGATTTGAACTTTTTTTTGTATCTTTGATCTGCGAGGCTATTCTATTGTACTTTTGAGGGTCCGAGAATTTTGGGTTTATTTTAGTAGTGTTCTGTGGTTTATTCTCCTTCTGATGTTTTTTTTGTACACCGCATGATTTCAGTCTTGGTGCTAATGAAGAACACAAAGACACCGAAGCGGTATGTAATTATTATGTTTGTCTGAATTCGTTTATATTTTGTAGAAGATTTTGTAATTTGATTGATTGGTTCTGATTAACAGAGGAGTTTCGTAGTGGAAGAAGAGAGTGATGGTTATATGGAGTAAACCGAAGCCCAAAGTGGAGGAAGAAGAAGAGGATGAAGCGATTGTTGAATCTGATGTAGATCTTGAAGGAGACACTGCTGAACCTGACAATGATCTTCCTCAAAAGGTTATACGACCGAAACCTCAGTTTCGATATTACTAATATCTCTCTGATTATATCTCTTAACTCTCTTGGTGTTGACACAGATGGGGATGCATCAATGGAGGTGACTGATGAGAACGGTGAAGCTGCTCAAGAAGCTCTCTGAAGGAAAGTTTGATGAAGCCATTGAGCATCTAACTCAGTCAGTAATTTTGAACCCGACATCAGCCATTATGTATGGAAACAGAGGAGAGTGTAAGACGATTTTGTTCATTTAACTTCTATCAATTGGTTTTTTGGTGCCTCATTGTCTTTATTTGTATTTCAGCTAGCGTCTCCGTTAAGTTGAAGAAGCCAAATGCTGCCGTTCGAGATGCAAACGCTACATTGGAGGTACAATGGTCTATACTACTCCTGAAAATTTTGCTTTCTTAGTTATGATATTGAATCTTTTATTGTGATTTGCTACGGAAGTATCTTCTTCCTCTGTTACTTCCTCTGGAAGTAACTGCGTACCAGTTGTGCCGTTATCGGCCCTTTTGAAAGGTGAACGGAGAGTGATTATTCAAGACGATGAGACGATATTGCTGCTTTGGTACAAGAACTACGTGTTCGCGATTGTGAATCCTTCTCCGGCGGAAGGAGCGTACAGTGAGGGAATTCTCATTGTTAAGCTAACTTAGGTTTCTCCGTCTTTTATTGTTTTTATTATTTATGCCGTTTGAGATTTCTTCGTCGTTGGAATTTGTACGGTGTTTGTGAAAATGCTCGACCGAGTTGATTGATAGCTTTAGGAAAGTGACCCTTATGGGATAGATCTCTTCACCTTCTTAATCAGTAATCACCACATGGATTGAGTTATTTCCAAATCAGTAGACATTAATAGGTTACGATTCGGGTCTGCCTAAGCTTTGGTATCATGTGATTCTACAGGAATGTAAATGTGTACACAGAGTTAGATTAAGAACGTTTTGTATTACCCCATTAAGAAATGTGGTTATGATAAATGCTATATAAGATTATTTGGATCTGTTAAATTTTTGCTATGTTGAAAATTACTTGATTTCTCACTAAATCAGTTAGTCACCTGAGATGTTACGAATATTGTATGTGAAAGGTTCGCTTTATAAAAATGTTGTACATCACATGCTATGAATGCCATGTTCACAGTGTTTTTTTGTTATGGTTTTCATCTACGACTAAAATGCATAGCGTCATAATTTATTACTACTTTCCGATCACTGATTTTTTGATTTCTCTAACATTATATTGTTCCTCTCTTATTTTCCATTTACAACAGGATGGTTGCATTGTGTGCCCATCAACGAATAGTACATTTGATCTTAGAACCGGAGAAGTCTGAGAATGGTACCCAAAAAAGCCGGTTATTAGAGTCTTGACAACTGCACTGAGAACTATTTGTGTACTCTGTCAAATTTGATGAAGAAAACATCTACATCAGCATTAGAGACAACAGGAAAATCGATGCAGCTGCCGAGATCATCTTCAGTGGAAAAGCTCAGCCTGGAGTTACAGCAACGAATGTCAATGTAGACGAGGTAAATAAAAAAGATAGACATGAAATGATTGATGAACAATTTGTGAATCAGGTGGAAATGGTGGTGGCCGAGGGTTCTAAAGGATTTGGTTTCTCAGCGAAGAACGAAGTGATTAACGGGAAAGCGGCGGTGATAGGGTTCTTGCTGTTGACAGGTAAAGGTCTATCGAAAGGGACAGCGTTCTTGGACTTCCTTTGCTCTGCTTCAGATGCTTTCAAGTAGAGAGAGATATATATGTAAAGATATTATGGTTTTGCTTACCCACTTGTGCAATTTGTGGAAGCATTACCCAGAAAAATGGAGAAAACAAAAATACTTCAGTAAACGACTCACACCATGTCTTAGTATGTAGTGATGGATGTTTTTGTCTTTGTTTTTTTGTGTGTTGCCTCTTATACGAGATATTTTTTTGTTCTCCGTGAGTTACAACTTATAGTCTTCAAGCTTTTTCCCAGTATATATATGTTGTGTTTGACATACAAACTCATCACATTAGCGGAACCCAACTCCACGAGAGAAACAAGTTCATCTCTCGACGCTTATAATACTCAAAAGATGCATCTGAATTAAATTGTAACACGACTACCGGTTTGGGTGAAAACATCATGATTTTATTCGGATTGTTAAATTGATATTAAATTCTTTTTATTGTTTATGTGATATAAATGCTTAAATCTATACTATTATTTGTTTATATCGATTAATCAAAAGCGTATATTCTATAGTTTCGAATAGATGCTTAAACCTAAATCACTTCTCCTATAAATATTGTGTATCTCTTCTCATATTGGCTATATGTTTAATTTTTTGGTTTTTGCTTTAGGGTTTTATAGCTAATAAAAACCCTAATCGCTTTTACTATATATATTGTTTGCCGCCTTTCTGGTATATTGCTATTGTTGTTTGTTCTAATTCAATTTTATTTTTCGTTGTTTCTCAATAGTTTTGTTCCATGATTTGTTTGATATGAACACAAGTGGATACGGTTTTGGTTTCGTGATCGTAATTAGTTCATACATATCTTGATTTTCTCAAATTTGATATGAAACTGTTTTCGCTTTTTTCAGATCGTGAGAAAAAGAGTAAAACGAAACGAGCAAGTTAGCCATCAGATCTAAAACAGAAAAATTTGTAGGTTATTCGATTATTTTTTTCATTTAGACATGCCTAATTTGATAACACTAATCTTCGTATGAACTTTATTATTTTTGTTCTTTTGCAGGATATATTAGTATGTTTTTACTTATTTCGTCTTGATAATTTTGATTCAGCATTTAACCTAACTACTCTGATTTCTGTTGTTGTTGTTTGTAGGAAACATCGAGAGCCTTTTTACTAACAGTTTAGCGATAACAAATAATATCTATATGTATTATTCCGTTTGACTTGTGAATCTAGATACATATTATTCTGTTTTCTTTCTAACATTTTTAAGTAAACAAGCATACTCGATTCATGTGTGTCTATTTTCTTGATGACTGTTTCTTTCAATAAATATATTTGTTTGGCTGTTTTTCTCTAGGGATATGTGTCCTTAGTCTACAAGGATATATCTTTGCAAAAAGAGGAGTTATGAGCCCTCGGTTAATAGCCTTGGCGTGTGCTACGAATAATGATTTGTGTTTCGATTAAATTAAACTAGAGGATGGAGTCTAAAAAGCAGGAAAAAGATAAGAATAAGATGAAAGATGTGCATAAGAAGAAAAGTACAGAAGGGTCAGTGACAGAAGTGACTTCGCCTGAAGATGCAAAGATACTCAGCCAAAATTAACATCTGATTCTTTCTTTTCAAAGTAAAATCCAAATCTCTATTTTCTTCCGGCATAAGTTACATGTTTTAATTTTTATAATGCATGTCATAATCTGATATTGTATTTTCATGTTTTTGCTCTGTTATAATAGTCATTGTTATATGAAGCATTTAATGCATATTGTAGAAATACTCACAGAGTAGCCATGGATTCTTGAGAATAACGTGATACAACAATTTGGTACTTCTTCATACAATCCTATTTAAAGAGTACAGCCCTATTCAAAGAGTTAGTTGGGGTATTAGTCATTTTAAAGTTCCTCTTTGTTTTGTTTGCTGCGTTTTGACTATTATTATTTTTTTGTTCTTAGCATTCTGTATGGTTTAACTATATCTCAGATAAATAAAATTCTAAATACAAGTTTAGAACCATTGTTCCTCCCAGCAAAAACCAGTGATACTATATCTTCTTTTGCAACCACGATGGAGGTGGACGAACCAGAACTAGTTGCTATAATAGTGCCTAAAATTTCCTTAACCAAGCTGATCAATGATATGCAGAAGGAGAAGCAACTCGTGGCTGTGGAGAGAGACATATGAGCTTTACATGACGAAGGCAAAAGTGTCGATTAAAGTTTTGTTCAATAGCAGATTAGTACATTAGGAGTGGAAAACGAGATTCTGAACAAGAAGAAGAACAACAACAATGGACAATGCTCTCAGCATTCTTCTTCTTTTGCTTCCATGGTAATGATGGGATGATGAGAAAGTAATACTCCTGCAGAACCAATGTATATCATTAGATGACTTTGTATCTAAAACATTATTGATTTATGAAGCCTTTTGGTAACTTAAATGTGTCCCATGACCAAGAAGAAAACTTGATTAAATAACAGTGTTTGTCATCGTTCTTTTTAAATTTTGGTCTCAACATTTCTTAAACAAATGCAAGTCGAATGCTGATTTGTGTGTGAAAAAAGAAAGAGAACAACAACTACAATAACAAAAACTTTTTGGTTTAGGATTGGGGTCTGATGATTGTGAATTCGTGATCGTTTGTGCTATTATGGAGGCGAGTGGGTGGGCATCGAAGGAGGCATTGCGAGTGTAGATTTGGATCTTCCCTATTCTGGTGATGTTGTAGAACCTCTTGGACTTTAGAATGCTGTTTATGATTTTGTATCAGATCATGTTGACTGATTTTAGTTATTCTGTTTAGATTTAAAGTGTCGCTTTTTGTACGATTGTTACAATATGACATATATATATATATGTTTTGCTTTTTTCATTTAATAAAGTTATATATTTTGTAATTTTTACACAGATTTAGTTGATGCAATTAAAATACCCATTCAATGTGTTGGTTGTCTAAGAAGAGGCCATAATAAAAAAAAGGATTAAAATATCCATTATATGTTTCACTCGATGATATCATTTATTTTCTAAATGTTAGAGTTGATATATGGATTTAAAATATGTAGTGTGTGTGTTAGATTTCAATATCGTGGTTGGTAAATATAACCCAATCACTGAAATTTTAAATTTTAATAGTAAACCGTTAAGCAAAAAAATAATGAATTTCATAATGATTTCAAATCTGTATTAAATAATAAATTATATTAGAGAAATGATTGGGTAGTATTCACTTAATTTCTTTAAGATTGGGATTTTAAATATGTCTCTAAATTCTAAAACAAGTTTGATAAAAGAATTAGTTAGTCTAAATAAGTTTTGCTTAAACAAAGAGGTACTCAAGATATTCGTATTTTCTAAAACATCGTTCCATTTGTTTAAAGAATTATTAGATTAATCGTAATAGAAAGTCGAGGTACAGTAAGTCACCATGCTCTATAAACGGTTTTTTTTTCCACATAGTCGAATGTTTCATTCTTGATTTTTTTTTTTTTGCTGTATAGAAATATTCTTGATTTACTGAGGCGGAACAAAGTCCGATTGTATCATTTCGACAAGGTTTGATTCTGTTTATCTTTTGGGTTTCTGGAAAATTTGTTCATTTAGCCATCTAAGATAACGTCGAGATGTCCCCGAGTATGTGCAACGTTCACATTCCATGTTCTTTAGTCATAACGGAATTCGAAGAAGCGAACTTATTTCTCTTTTATTGGAGTTGTCTATTCAGTACTTTAAGCCTCTCAGTGATTTGCTGTTCTGGATCAGGTGTTTTGGGCAATCGAAGAGATGGAGCCAACAGAAGTGAAGGTAGGGATGGATTTGCAAACATTGTCTTAAGACTTTGGATAGAACAGTTAGAGATATCATGAAATGTGTTAAAGTTTCGGTCACATATTTTTGTAGATCAAGAATATGAATCTTGAGAGTGAGAGATCAAGAATACTAATGAGAGAGAAAGAGAGAGAGAGAGAGAGATATGTAGGGGAGAGTTAAAAGGAGAAAAAGAGGGAGAGAGGAAATAATAAAGTTGGATGCTCAAAGCATTCAGTCAATTGATCTTGAATAATATGTTAGATTTTTTTTCTTTGAGTTCTAAAATATATTATGTTTTCTACCCTTATCTTTATAAGTTGTATATATTGTGTTTAAGGACAAGCAAGAGAGATAAAGAGTGAAAATCTACTTCAAAAACAAGAACAAGAAGGAGAAGGAGAGAGCAAAAGAGAGAGAGAGAGAGAGAGAGAGAGAGAGAGAGAGAGAGAGAGAGAGAGAGAGAGAGAGAGAGAGAGAGAGTGATATAAGACTCGGTATGAGAGGCTTATATGATGTGGGAGTGATGGGATGATGGAGTCAATACGCTGGCTATGTCGCTCTCTTGTACGGACTAGTGGATGAAGGGTGGTAGAACAAGGCTTGTTAAACAAATCTTGAGCCGATATGTGATCTATCAAGTTGGCTTTAACGCTCTCCCTTGAAGGATCAATGAATGGTGAAAGCAATAGGACGATGGCACCACAAAGAGTATGGAAGGCTCTCTGATACAGCAACACTTAGAACTTGGTGAATCCACACGCAAGAACAAGCAAGAACAAAGGCTAGCGGCGGCTAAGCTTTTGTGAAGAAAGTTTGGTCTCTTTATTGATAATGTAGGGTAACCAAAAATACAACGCTGCAGGGGAGCTTTATAAACAGCTCGTCAGCTAGCCCTAAGGCCGAAAATAAAAAGCAAAATGACATAACAAGAGAATACAAAAGAGCAAAACGCACAAAGGCAAAAATACATGAAAAAGGAAAGTTCACTTAAACTAAAAGAAATAAAACTAAGCCGACTTTCTTGATGCCTTAAGGGCTCGAACTGGTGTTGCATTGGCGTGCTGGAAGGCTTAAGAACCACTGAGGCAAGCCTCATTACCTGCACAAATCGTATAAACTGAAAATACCTGGTTTTGGCGCGCATGTACCTTGGTTGGCAAGTAGTGGTTTAGGTCCGGTCTTGGGATGCATTGTCCGAGTTCCTTGAAGCTCTCATCTTCCTGATATCCTCTGAAGTCAAGTTGTG